CAGCATTACAGAGGAGAGCAAGTAGACCTGGATAATCCACAAACCAGACAGGCATTCCATAGGTGACAGAGGGTGGGTTCGAGCAGAAGGACTGCGAACACAATTGAACTCTTGAGTATGTACTGTTTGGGTTCTTGTTGTGTGTTTCCTTGTTCTTCTAACTAGTTCTGCAACCTTGGGCAAATGCTATTCCCGTGTGAAAGTTGGGTTATAGCCATGCTACTTAAACACTGGCATTTTAGGATTTTAAAACTCTTCCAGTACCTCCTGCTTGGTTCTTTAACAACATGTCCATCAAAATCAACCAACATGGATTTTTCCCCCCCCAACCAATAGTAGGCAAGATGCAGAAGCAACTGATCAGGAAACATTGTGAACAAGTGTAAACTCAGGTTGGATGCACCTTCCTGACCAATAGTGAACCAGACAGCAATCCTATGTCAAAATACATTGTTATTTAAAATTACAACATAATTGCTTTTATTTGTCTTCCCTTTCAAAGAACCTAGAGTTTACTGCAGACCTGACTGGAAATTGTAATGTGAAAGAAGTTGTTTTTCAGGAATGAGAAAGCTAAGGCAGAGAAAAGCCAGGCAGTATCCAATTGGTGGCACAGCCGTGTACTCCATAGTGAGGCGGATGGTTTATCTGGAAGACAAAGAAAACTCTTCTCACTTCTGGATACCTCCCCCAGTGCCAGCCTCCCTGGAGCTAAGAAGTGCAGCTGGCAAGGACACAGCTACTGAGGGTTGACCAGCAGGAACTGAGAGCCGAGACAAGCTGGGACTCAGACAGACACTCAATTGTGGGAGGTGGGGGAGCCAGGGAGCATCTTACCCACATCACAACATGTCTGCCTCAAGGGCTACGGTATGGTACTTTGTTCTGACTCAAAATAGAGAGGTCTTGAGGAAAGACACTGTTTCCATTGCTGAAAATCATCCTGGGGCCTGGCTGGCTTGCGGTGTGCAGCTTTCAAGGCCTGTGTGGAGTCTGGGGTCACCCAACTCCATTTTCTTCCCATGAAGACACACCAGCCTGCAGCTAAAGCACTGATCTTGAAGGGCAGATACACGCTAGGTTGGTTCTGGTGAGCACCGTCCTTCCACCATGCTGCAACTTGGGTGAGGGACGGGGTGAAGAGTCCAGGTCGGCGTGCCGTTCTCCTGAAGCAGCAGCAGCCGCCGTGTTTCTCTGGGCTGTGACAGCCACTCAGAACGAGATCCCTCTGGGATGTCCCCACCACTGCTGGGCAGCAGCACAAACTGCAGCTTGGCTATGGTCACCAAAACAAGGAGAAATTTGCATTTTTGCTTCCTCAGCTAGCAACTTTCTTAGCTTAGCTAGCATTCTACACTTAAAACATCTATGGTTGAAATTTCCTCCTCAGTGACTTAAAGGATTTGTATGCCACTCTTGGCCACATCAGATAATTTTTTAAATTAAGTTTTCTACAACAGGGCTTGGAGGAAGATCTGCATTTTAAATTCACTACAATTAAAATTGTGTCTCTTTGGTCTGGCACTGCCTTTGGTCAAAGCCCATTTGTATGAATAATTACTCAGTCCATTAAGTAGTCTGCTCAACTCCTTCTGCCATTTTGAAGGTTTTAATAAATATTGATCAGGCACGTTTCTGTTTGCACTTGCCAAAGCAATTCTGATGGGTTCATCTTCTGATGTTATCAAATAATGAAATATGAAAGAGTGAATAGAATTACCCTCTTGTTCTGTGATTTTTTATTTAGGTCCTTCATTTTACTTTCATAATTGTGTTTGTCTCATCCTTCTATAAATGCTCTTTTGATTACCTAGAGGTGAGCCAGGGTAAGGAGAGATGTGCTGTGCTGAATACCACTTGAGAGTCTTCTCAGTTAGAAAAAGTTTATTGAGTATCACTTCAGAGAATCATTTCAATTTTTAAAAATAGTTTATCTAATACCACACGGTGATACAAGCTATATATGGCTCCTCAGAGCACACAACTCTTACACTATCTATTACCTGGAGTTCTTCCCTGTCCCCAACAAGCCCAGTCTAGACTCGGATCAAGTGTCCAAGTGTGAAATGGTTTTAAAGTAAAACAACATTGGGGCCTGTGAGTCCTGCCGTGTTACTTGGTACTTGAGAAAGAAGAGCTGGAGGGGCTCTCAAGCAAGGCTTTTGCTCTTGGTATGGCCAGAGTTAGAGAAGGCATAGGGAAGTGCAAGAGTAACAGGAGTTGGGATTCTAGGCTATGTTCTGGAGATTCTGCTGTGCTGGTGTCTGGGGAGAAGTTGGTGGGGAAGGCACAGATGCATGGCTGTGATGGGAACCAACATCAGGCGAGAGCTTGCCAGCAAGGCCAAGGTGATGCATGGCAGGTGTCTTTGGGTTGTTCTCTGTCACTCTCTCTTCCTCTAGTCAGCAGGGACTCGAATGAAAAGTTCACTGCAATCTATTCATGCTGCCGGGCTTCTGGGCAGCTCTCCACTAGCTGAGTTTGTCACATTCAACTTCTGACGTCCTGACCCTACTTCAGACACTAATCCACTTCTCTAAATGTTTAAATTTCTTTTTTCATGTCAATGAGAAAAAAAAAATCCACATCCTTTAGGGGTGAAGGACCAGAAAAGAACAAAGTTTGGCAACAAAAAATCAGTGAATAATTGGGAGAGTGTGAGTAAATGCAAATCAGTAGGTCTTAGCAAATACTTGAGTGTGTATTAACTAAGCCCTTAGGCCATTTATGAAAGCAAAATAAAGCTAAATAAACCAAAGCTGCAAAGTGAGCCACCTGAGAGTCCAGTGCACATGACTCGGAGGGATGTCAATTAGAAGAAGCTAATGGAAGCATGTACAGTATCCAGCAGGGTTTAATTAAAGACCCAAACATTCTGACAAATGTGATGGATAGCTTTGGTAGCAATGCGAATTCAGGGGATGAAAAAACTATTGCTGATATGTTTGGATATCAGTAAACCAGGTGATGCAGTGCCTATAAAAAATATAACCAAGCAAAATTAATTGTGAATGGCTACCAATGAAAAGGCAGCGGCTGCAAATGATAAAGGCACGTCAACAAACTTAGATGAGAAAGCCAAGGGTGCTGGCTTTATAACTGATCTCTTTAATACCTTTAATACGTGCAGGAGGCAGCAGAGAAGAGCGGAAGGGCAAGGTTACTGGGTGTGTGGGAGGGCTGTGAGTAGCAACAAAGAAAATCAGATATAATTTTGTAGAAGGTTACTAGGTGTTTGCTTGCTGTGTGAACTTGGAAAACCTCTGTGGGCCTTAGCTTCCTCATCTGTAAGGTGGGGGTAGTGGAAATATCTAAGTCATTGGGTAGTCAAGATGATTAGATGAGTTAATGCTTGTAATAGTGCTGGACACATGATATTTTTAATGGTAGTTTTTGTTAAGAAAAATAAGAGGCCAAAGCTGAGCTGATCCAAAGCCAGGGGCTTCCTCTAGGTGTCTCATGCAGGTGCAGAGTTTTTTTTCTTTTTTTAAAAAGATTTATTTTTATTACAAAGTCAGATATACAGAGAGGAGGAGGAGGAGACAGGAAGATCTTCCGTCTGGTTATTCACTCCCCAAGTGAGCGCAAAAGCTGGTATTGTGCCAAACCAAAGCTGGGAACCAGGAACCTCTTCCGGGTCTCCCACACGGGTGCAGGGTCCCAAAGCTTTGAGTCATCCTTGACTGCTTTCCCAGGCCACAAGCAGGGAGCTGGATGGGAAGTAGAGCTGCTGGGATTAGAACTGGTGCCCATATGGGATTCTGGCACGTTCAAGGTGAGGACTTTAGCCGCTAGGCCACGCCGCCAGGTTTAAAGGCCTTGGGCCATCCTCTACCGCTTTCCCAGGCCACAAACAGAGCTGGAAAGGAAGTGGAGCAGCTGGGACATGAACCAGCACCCATATGGGATCCTGGTGGATGCAAGGTGAGGATTTAACTACTGCACCGTGCCTAGGAAGGACCCATGCTTAAAAATGTTCTGTTCACTCCCTCATTGCCCAATTTTCTTGTCTGTCTGGGGAATGAACCAGCAAATGGAAGATCTTTTCTCTCCTTCTCTTCCAATAAAAATAAATACATCTTTTATTTTTGTTTTAATGGGTCCTTTCATACAAAAAGACTGACACCAAGACTGCTCACTGGTGGCACTCTCCCTAGGTCCATATAGAAAAGCTTCTTAAGGGATAAAAAATACGTACAACATTTGCATTCTTGTCTTAGAAAGAACAAGAATCTTGATTCAAAGAAAACAACCTAGCAAAAAGGGCAAGGTTAGGCGGCAAAGGTCTAATGCCTCGATTTAAATGCTAATGCTAACCTATAGCTCTAGACCACACAAAGATTACAGTTTTTTTAAAGACCATAAAGTGAATTTAAACTGGAACCTTAATTTCTTGAAAAAAAGATGGTTTCTGAAGAGGCAGGAAAGGGAGAGAGGGAGGCCACTTTGAGCAGAGGAAGAGGCCAGTGACAAGTACGGGGTCCAGGGCAGCGCCAGTGCCACCTCTGCTCTGCCCCAGAGCCACCGCTGCAAAAGGGCAATCATGGAACTACTAACACTAGGCTGTGTCCTAGGATTTGGGGAGCATCCTGTATTCACGTTCCACTTCAGTAAAAACACATCGCCCCCTTCTGCCCTTCTCCACTCCATCCTGCAACATTCAGTCCCAAGCTCAAAACAGAAATAAAGCAGGTAACAGGTATTGGGGTGAGAACCTGGATGAATAGTTTTAATTCTCTTTCACATCCTAACAATGAGAGAAATAACAGTATTGTGAACCTTGGAAATGTTAAAGAAGCCAGTCTCCAGAGAGCACATATTGCATGATTGCATTTATATGATAACATCCACAAGAGGCAAATCCAGACACAGCAAGGAGATCAGTGGTTGCCAGGGTGGAATTTGAGGGAAAATGCACACAGGGTTGCTTTTGGGGGTGATGGAAATGTGCTAAAATTAGCTGGTGGTGATGGCTGCATTTCTGTGACTATACTAAAACCCAATGAATCGCACACTTTAAAAGGGTTACTGTTTATGCTATGTAATTATATTTCAATAAAGCTGTTATAAAATGCAAATTTTATGGCCTAGAACACTGACTCCTTAACTATACAGAAGACATTTGTCAGCAGCCACTGCCACTATGAAGACGGAGCCTGCTAAGCAGAACACTCTGCAGTTCAACGGTCTGCCGCAACAGCTGCAGAAAGCTCTGGAAGATCTCCAAGAAGATGATTCCACCTGCTCAGTTTCAGTAAGTGCTCCTGAATCACACACAGTCATTTCTAAGAGCCCCAGACTTCAGAAGGGTAAGTGACTGCACTCCCCCAAGCATCTTTGCGTCAAATGTCTCTGAATTCTCTGTAATAGTATCCTCAAAGTTGTGACAACTAGTAATGAGTAATTATTACTAGAAAAATAGGCCAGAATTGGGAAAAATCCTGTTTGTATGATTATAGGGGAACTGGAATATAATTGAGCCAAAGATTCGTTATATTAATGTTCACTATTAAGGATAATGAAAAGAAAGTTACATTTAATATTTGACACATGCCAGGTGCTTTACAAGTAAGTGCACCTGACGTTTACTTGCAACCTGAGACTCACAAGGACGAACTAACCATCTAAGGGTCATCTGGTTGAGGAAGGCGAAGGCCAGTATTGTGTGGCTTTAGTTTTAGGACTGAGTTCCGATGACCTAAGAGTATGTGATATTCTTCATAACTTTGCCCAGCTCATTCCAGGAAGAATGCTGACTTAGGACACTAAAAGCTAGTGTGCGCTCAGAATCGAGCTCAGGGAGACACTTAGACTGTAGGAGACCCAATGGGATTCAATCTATGATGTTACTATAGAAACCGCAGAGTGCTCTGCAGCTACAGGCGTGGGGTAGGAACATCCATCAGGGGTATTTAGAAATTAAGTATAGCTTCCTGCTCAATGTATGACTTTTGTGCTAACTTGTAAAACTGATTGATGACACAGATGCCTTGCCACTGTGTGCCCTCTGACCTTAGCCAACCTTCAAATCTACTCCTGGCCATGAAGTCTGCATTGTTGAACTGAGGCTGTATCTGCGATCTCCCAGAAGCAGGTTCTAATGCAAATGTATGCTTATTTCTGGTAGGAAAAGTAGAAGTTACTCAAAAACATCCTGGCTTCTCACAAACACTGCAGAATAGAGGGGAAGACAGAGCAGAATGGACCGCCTCCACTTCCTCCCCACGTGCTGTTTCCAGAGGGAGTCTAACTTTCAGGACCCTCAGAGGTTCACTGATCCCCAATCCCCAGGTGCTTTGCCTGCATTCCTGTGAGGACCAGAGAGCAGGACGTGACCTGCTGACCACCCTCCCATGGCTTGGATGAAAGGACTTCTCCCTGACCTGCTCAGCAGTAGAGAAAGGGGAATGGGTGCAATGGATTCAGGGCTCACTGTGGCTTTTAGGTGTCACCTATCCTAATCATTGCCTTTTCCAGATGCGGAACCCGAGATCCAACAGGACTGTGTGGCACGATCCTAGTGATTGGTCAGCCCCAGATAGATGCAGTGAGGATCCCACCTTGCTTAGCCCCTCCATGCCCTCTTTTCCACTAGAGCCTCCTTCAGTGGCAGGGTGCAGATCCCTGAGGTTACCCATGAGTCAGAAGTAGGGTCAGGGGTCACTCTGTTGGCCTTGCCTTCAACTTGCTGACCTCTTTACTGGACACTCTCCTCACTCTTGTCGCTCCTCCATCACTCTGCCTTTCAACAAAAATTAGAAGACAGCAACCATCCAGCATGACTGCAGCTAGTCCTTTTTTACAGAGATCACTCTAACCAGTGGTCTCTGCTTCCTGTCCCTACAAATCATTGTCAAGAAATACTTTAAATTCAGAGCCAGCAGAGACGACCTACTGCTGCTCCCAAACCCCTCCATACCTGCAGAGTGTTCAGCAGATGCTTTCCTGTTTACAAGGAAGGCATGTCAGAATCTAACCTGATGCTGTGAGCTACTATAGCATCTGTATGGGCCAGGAAGGAGCAGCAAGGGTCAGAGATCCATGAACATCCCAGCCTGGGATGAGGGACGTCCTTCCCATCCCAGACATGTACTAAGAATCTGTCCTTGGGAAACATGTCTAATGTTTTGTAAGAGAAACATTTCAAAGGTGGAGAAACAAACATGGTTTTTGACTCAAATGTTTCTATGAATGCTTCTCAGGCCAGGAGGTGTAAATGTTTCTAGGATATCTGGGCAAAAGCAATGCAGTGATCCATCTCACTAACAGTTGCTTGGGGCAAAACATGCCAACTGAGAGCAGCCAGGATGCCATTCAGAACATGCCTGCCTGTCCTCTGCTTTCCACGTGGGAGCACAGAAACCCCACAGCATCTCCCAGTGCATCTATGCTGGACCTTGCCCCATCCCTCGCTGACCAAACAATCCTGTTGTGTCTCGGGTTCTGAATCTGGAAAAGCCAATGGATTAGACTAGGATAGGTGACATCTGAAAACCAAATTGAACTAAATTGAACCATGAGTCCAGAAATAGGAGTGGAGAAAGGGCACGCCACATAATTAGTAGTATTTCCAATTCCCAGAAAATGCAGTGTAGGGTGAGTGAGATTAGGCCCCAGGACACACGGCTCATCAGTGGCAGGGTTTTGATGTCAAGGTACAGTTCTTGAGTCCAGAGCCAGTAACCTTCCTCTTCTACCACAGAGGTTCATGACGATGTATCTGGTTCCCTGGCTTCTCTGGGCACTTGTCACTAAAAGACAGAGTGCCTGTTCAGAGGTGGCCTGTGTTTGTCCTGTCACTGTTTTTCCAGTATGACTGTCAGTTTGCACCCTGCAACCCAAAATGCCTTTGATAAGAGCCCTGAGTACAAGGGGAAATGCAGCTGATGCAGCTTGATTTTAACAGACTGGATGGAATGTAACAGAAGATTCATTGTAACGGAAAGCTTTCTTGTGGTTTGTAATGAAGACACAAAGCACAGAGTTGAAATCAGTCTTTTATGCTAATCTGCATGATATTCAATAGCAGAGACAGAAAGAATTAGAAATGATTTCTACAATGTGATTTATTCAAAATCCCATGCCTCCGTGTGGGCGCCTCGGTCCCACCTGGGGACACTCTTGGGTGAGCATTTCTTCTCTTCTCCTCTTCCTACTGTGCTTATAGGCCAGCTGACGCTCCTGAACGTGCTGCCTGTGAGGACTGACAGTCTTCTGAAAAACCACCAGCACACGTCGTGTGATCTCAATCCGAATCCACCTGTGCACACACATCCTGATACATACACTGACACAGCTCAGGGAAGAAGAGGAAACTGCATATTTTAAAGGCTTTCAATATAGATTGTAACTGTTGTTGGGCTACAAAAAGTTAGAGTAATTAAAAGGCTGTTCAAAGAACAGAATAAGTCCGTTAAATCTAGTTAAATAATTTTTCAGAAACACTACACGAAACACTTCTTGCTGTTTCGTTCTCTCACAATGAACTGAAGGAAGAATATCTCATTTTCCAAATGGAACTTTATGGAGTTTTCAATAAGCACCCTCAGCACTTATCTAAATCTTTAATTAGTTCTATAATATACTGATGATATCAAGCCTAATTAAATTTATACAGATAAGGTGCAATGAAATTCTAGCCAAGTGAGCTGGAAAGCACATATTAAATAGTAAATTTAATGGTTTAAACTGATAACTACAATTTTATATCAAAAATTAAATTCAATTTACATGTTGTATTCAAATTGATTTTGAGTGTGCAAATTATTGGAAAAATCTTATATATCAATAAAATTGTTAATCCAGTCTGTTTAAATATCAGTTATTAATGTCTGCATTTGCAAATATGCTACACACATTTGCATTTTTACTGCACAGAGTAAAAAACTATCTAAACCCAATGCCATTTTATTAAGAATACTGAGTAATTTTTCTTTTGGCTTCATGCATAAATTAAGGAGCCAAGAAATGACTGTTGGGTCTGAAGAAGAGTCAGCAATTCAATATACAGCAAGGCAAAGATGACATTTTTGATGACTAAAGCAGTTCACGCTACCCTCTGGGAACAGCAGTTACAATGGTAAAATTCTTACTTACTTAGGATCAACTGAGATGGAACCATCCATTAACATCTGATGTCATAATCAGAAGGAGAGGTGGATGGATGCAAACAGTGGCCTGAGGAGGGAAAGGAAGTGCGTAGCTACGCTTTATCAGAAGATAAAGGTACTTACCAGTTAATCCCATTTCACAGGTTAGCCAAGAATAGTATGTGAAGGTACATGAAATAACTACCTGATCAAAGAGAAGACCTGCACCGTGTAAGCTGATCAATAACATTGTTCTTGGTTTCCTCAGGGGAGTGCTGCACTTTACCGGCATCAGCCTTAAACATGCATATGTCCTCTTTTTTGACATCCACAGATGTGAAGAATATTACATATTGTTAATTGAGTTTCAATGACCTCATAATTAGCTGCACATTAGTAGAATTTTGTGCAGTAATTACTCTGCCATTATCATTATCTGCTTTCCTCAAGACATATTGTTATTACTCTTGGATTCTATTGGCTGGAAAACTATCTTAAAATTACCAAATATGTATTAAATTTCTATTTTATAGCATATGCTTACATTGGGGATATGAATAATATGCTAATGACTTTAGAGAACAGACACATGAAGATCTGAGTGATAACATTCCAGAAAAGAAGTGGAAGTGCAATGTGGTGGAAGGGTGAGCAATTAAGAAGTAAGTATACAGAAGAGAAGAACCCTACAAAGAAAGGCATTGAGGTTGGACCAAAGCATCAGTGGGGGCAGAAGGTCTAGAAAAAATGAGAGACGCTAACAAGGATCATTCTTGGGCAAAATTGAATCAAGCCTGAAGAGACGGAGTTGGATAGAATATTTGTGAAAAAGCCACTCTATGGATTAAGCAAAAAATGAAGAGAAGTGATAATCTAGGATGGGTAATGTGACCTATCACGGTGGGAGCGGGATCAGCCGGCGGGAGCACTGCTTTGCTGCGGGTGGGTGTGGTGGTGAGCATGAGAATGGTTCAACAGAGAACCATTTAGAGGTGCACAGAGGATCATGGTGCTAGGGAAAACATTTTTATTCTAAAATGCCTCATATGTTCTGGAAATAACAAGGCTTAAATCTTGTTACATGTTCACTGGATCTCCATGAAACAGGTCTTGGGCTGTTTGCTAAAATCCTGAATGTGCCATGTGAGTTCAGCAACACCATGTGAGTTCGGCCTGGTGTGCTGCCTCTCAGCGGAATGAATTCAGACAGTCTCCATCTGCCAGAGAGGCCAACCCTCACACAATATACTGCAACTCCTTGGGCGTGCTGCTCTGGCCTGCCTCGGAAAATGCGTTGTCCATCCCACCACATGGGCCACACAGACCAAGGACGCCTCTTGCTGGACTCCTTTCTGGCCTTTTAAAGACAAGTGGCAGGAGGGTGAGTTAGCTGTTTTATTTCCTTGCTATACATTACCCTGGTCATTTTCAAAAGAATTTTCTAAGCTCAGACTCAGAACCTGTATTGCTAAGTAGTAAGGTGTCCAGAATTATCATATAGTTTCATGTGGTAATCCAATTATAAAATCATGTGCTTTTCTCAAGAACTTCTGGGGCATCACTAGGGAATGAAGGCTTAGAAAAAGTCACAGGAAGTTTCTGTATGATTTGGTGTGGCAATTCTGTGCAAGAAATGGTTAGAACCTGGGGCAGCTGCTTTAAGGGCATTCAGAGTGGGAACTAACCAGAGACGCTTCTGTTCTGTATGCAGAAGGCCCCCGAGGGGAAGGGCGACTCCCCGCATCCCCATTGTGGCCAGGTGCTCCTGGCACAGTTGGAAAGCCTCAGGCCTGACAGCACACGGCTATTGATGTTGTCAGAATCAATGGCAGGGATACACTGGGACTTCTTTGAGCCTCTCTGTGTAGAAAAATGCTAGAGAAATTCAATTATTATTGAATTATAATTCTATAACATATTTTACCCATCAGCTCCTGCTTTTTTGATCATCTGATTTTTTTATATATATATAATTCAAAGTGTTTCAGTGAAGAAATAGAGTTGCCCTGGTCTCCTTCTGGGAGGAAACTGGCACTGAAATCCTATTCAATGCAGCTCTGCAGGCTGCAGCTCAGGGCAGCTCGGGAGCAGCCTCTAGGCTTTGATGGAGAAAGCCTGGTCTTCTCCCTTTGGTCTTTATCCTTGTGTTTCTCATCTCTCCACTTGTTACTGTGTTCATGTTGCAGCTGAGAATCAAATTGTGCTGCCTGTAGCCTCATTTGCCTCACTTTTCAACAGGGTTGAGGGACCACTGAAAGTATACGAATGGGAGCCCAGCAGCTGGAGGTCCTCCACAGGTTACAGTGGAAAGTGGATGACCACTGCTTTCTGCCCTACATGTGTAGCAGGCACTTCCATGTGTGGTTGCATCCCAGTGCACGCAGCCATCCTGAAGTGTAAAGGGGTGCCCATTCTATGGCTACGCTGGCTAACCTGGGAAGGGGTGAGAGGCCGTGGCAACTACAAGCAGGGCTAGAACCATGATGCAGATGTCGCTCTGTACACTGAGCCAGATGGCAAAGCAAGGCATGTTGAAAAGAGGCAGAGGATCCCTGTGGTCTCTATAGAGACTAAGATCTAGAGATGATGGAATGAAATGGGGCTTTTTAAAGAGATATATGAACTATAGAATGTGGTTTAACCAAAGGAAAAAAATGCACTTAGCAGCTTTGAAGTTCCTGATTTGACACTCAACCCACCCCCTCCAAAAAAAGGAAACTCTATTTTTAGACTTCAAGGGAGGGTCACTGAACAAGGCAAGCAGTCTTTGTGGTCATGTTTCTTAGGAATGCAACTGAGCTGAGCACAGGGACAGCACAGATAATCTGCTTTAATAGGTGTGTTGGCATGCACACTCACCAACTAAGATGAGACAGACCTGCAGCTGCCCTGTGTTTGATTCATACTGGTCCCAAGTGCTACCTCCAGTGGCCTTCTACCAAGTTAGGGCTTTGCATGTCTGCCACCTGGGACTGCGTGCCTCAAGAGAAGGAGTATGACAAAATCTTGGTGAATAGGGTTGGGGAGGAAGTTGGCTGAGGGACATCAGAAGACACCTTGCTGCCAAGAGGGACACATTCCCTCCATGGGAAGCTGTTGTGACACTTGGATATCTGACAGCTGGCTTTGGCTAGCAGCATTGGTTATGGGGAGGAAGCCAGCACACTCCAGGCAGGAAGGGCAGACAGTAGCCCAGACACCACTGTCTGCAACACCTCGGAATTGAACAGAAAATGAGAAAAGATATATTTTAAAAACTCAGTGTTCAAGTCATTCAGTTTTGGGTTTTGTTACATGTGGCCAAAACATCCCAATAGCTCAGCTTCCTAAGATCAGTCACCTGTCAAACTGCCTCTCAGGGATCTCACTGTTCTGTTTTGTAACTTCAGCATGAGATTGCTGGTCCTTGTGTTACAGTTGGCCTAAGCCAGTCCTTGTTCAAATATGGCCTAGCAACTCCACTGCTACGGTGACTGGCAGCCACCCAGGTGAGTGTGGAAACAAGCTGTCATCTCACCTAGGAGCGCGCCTAGTAACCCTGAGTTGGATCCCAAGCTGAAGGTTGCTGAAATAAGTCCAATTAGATAAGCCAACTAAGTAACCTGGGCATGTCACTCCTGTCTCCTCTGGTCAGTTCACCACTTGGAAGTGTGAGTGTCCCAAACCAGGGTTAGAACCTTTTCTTATTTAACTGGTCTCAGGTCTTTTTCAATGTTGTGATTGAATCCAGCTGCCTACACCAGTACTTTTCCTACAACTAACCTGCCTGGCTGACTTTAGGGCAGCCTCTGTTTAAGCCCGTTCCATTCCTCTCACCTTCTGCTTCCCCAAGCCCTCTCGGTGTGCCCATCTTCTGCTTCCTCTGAGCACGTTTTCACTTTTGCTGTGTTAACACAAACATTTACCTACTATCCTGCAAACACAATTGACTCATTCATGAAGTTTGCATTGTATGTGAACCATGAATTTTTTATAGCTGTTTTTCCTTGAAATTTCTCAGTGACTTCTGCTTTTCTTGGATTATTTAAATGGGTTGTACCTTAAATTTCTGTTTTTCCAACCTCTCAATCACACAAGCTGTTTCCTTTAGGCATCTCCTCCCAGTTAATCATGGCACACTTATTATTTGTAACTGTTGCTAATGGAACATGGCTAGGGCTCCTCCTGCACAGTCTAGACTGAGGGTGTTCCACTGGCTTACCCACAGCAGCCAACAATGTTTCCCACCTTCAAGGCTTATGTTGACATCTTTTGTTCACTAGCAATCCTTTCATTTTGTCTGGGATTTAGATTTCTTTCATTTTCTTCTATTTTTATTGGAAAGACAGATCTACAGAGAAGAGAGGAGAGACAGAGGAAGATCTTCTGTGTGCTGATTCACTCCCTAAGTGGCTGCAACAGCCAGCTCTGTGCCGATCCAAAGCCAGGAGCCTCTTCCAGGTCTCCCACACGGGTGCAGGGTCCCAAGGCTTTGGGCCGTCCTCCACTGCTTTCCCAGGCCACAAGCAGGGAGCTAGATGTGAAGTGGGGTGGCCAGGATGAGAACTGGTGCTCATATGGGATCCCAGTGTATGCATGGTGAGGACCTTAGATACTAGGCCACCACACTGGGACCCTTTTTTTTTTTTTTTGTTAGTAGGTACAGTAAGGGGTTTGCTCTCTGATACCCAACTTATTAATTAAATCTCATAAGCTTCATTCAAAATACCAGTGGTGACCAGGGCTGCTGTTCTGGCACAGTGCATTGGGCTACTGCCTGCAACATTGACATTCAATACGAACCCTCATTTGAGTCTTGGCTGTTCTCCATCCAATCCAGCATCCTGCTAGTGCACCTGGCAAAGCAGTGTTTGGGCTTTTGCTGCCTGTGGGAGGCTCAGGTGGGGCTCCTGGCTTCAGCCACTTGGAAAGTGAAGCCAGCAGATGGAAAATCCCTTTCCCTGTGTGTCTGCCTTTCAAATGAATAAATCTTCGAAAACAATCAGTGATGATGCAGGGTGTTGTAAAGCAACGTTCAGTGTGTGCTGTTCACCTCCACCCAGTGCTCGGGGAGGAGCAGCGTGCTGCTTAAACTCAGTACCTAAACCAGTACACGGCAGAGGATGCTGCTGGAGCGGTTACCGTGCAGGACAGGCCAGCCTGCTCGTTGCTCCTATCGCCAGAAGCCAGGAAAGAAGAGACGCGGGGGGCTGTGCTTTGCTGACCTGTGCACACAGGACTGCCCGGTTACCAGGGCCACTTGTACAGAGGCCCAGCTGCTCCCACATGCAGCAAGGTGCCTGCCAGCAAGATCTTCAACTCAGGGCTGGGCCATTCCAGTAGGCGCCATGGTTATGAGGGCTACCATAAGCAGTGGCAGTGGAGGGTGCCAGATGTGTCAGTTGGCAAGGTGAGTTGTGCCTGTGCCTGAACATAGTGTGGACGAGTGCCAATCGGTGCAACGAGCTGCAGGAAGAACGCTGTGTGGCTATGTTCCAGTGAGTGCCAGGAGCAGCAGAGGACAGCGGTGGGGGACAGCTGTCATGTGCTGGTGATGGCAGCAGTGACAGACGAGGCACCGGCTGTAGGAGCCAGAGCTCTTACACAACAACACTAGTGAACGCTACTCTGAGTTAAATGCTGATTTCTGGGTCATCTTGTGATTAAGAATAGGCTTTAGTCCATGTAGAGATGCCCATGCAGAGGCTCCGGAGGGCACCCAGGTCAGGGCCTGATAGGCTTTTGTCATGGGCTGGCTGGCACTGAGTCTCAGTCTCACCTTCACAGGGCTCATTTGTGAATTTCTGGAAGGGCTGTACTCTCCGTTGTCATTAGGTGGCAATGAAGAGTCATAATTTCTCAAACCTAGTTGTACAATCCTAGTTGTCTTACTGAAACAAGCACAAAGAAAAGATTCAGCAGCAAATGAAATTTACCAAATTTGTTTTCACAGTTAATCTATTCCTAACTTGAATGGATTAGTTTATACTAGAGTCTTAAGCATTTTTAAAAATATAATTATTTGGAAGTCAGTTACTGAGACAGACCTTCCATCCACTGGTTCATTCCTCACAATGCCCAGGGGATCAGGGCTGGCCAGGCTGACAGCCAGAAGCTGGGAGCTTCTCCTGATCTTCCCACATGTGTGCAGGGGCCCAAGCCTGGGGCCATCATCTGATACTTTCCCAGGCATGCAAGCAGGGACCTGGGTCAGAAGTGGATCAGTCAGCACTGGAGCTGGTGCCCAAATGGTTGTTGGCTCTGCAGGCAGCAGTTTCTCCTTGTGTGCCACAACTCCCTCTAGTGGAGTCATTTGCATTCCAGTTCCCTTCTCTAGATGCAGGCATCCTAACCGTGGAATTACCATTTCTGCAGCACATATCTGTGGTCTAGCTCCTCCTCCTACAGCTAGATAGGGGTTTGTGGAACTTTGGAAAGCAATACCATCTCTATTCTTGTAAGAGTAATCTACTTTGCACCTGGCAGATCCTTAGTGCTAAGTAGTCTCACAGGCAGCTTACTAATAACACCAAAATGGCTAGGCCTGCTAATGACATCACTGCCTCCCCTCCAGGGGCAGTGCTACAAACTGTGTCGGTCCTTCTTCAACAGAAGGGTTTCCCTTTTGGGAAGATACATCAAGTACCTTTTTGGATAATGAAGTCATTAATTGATGTAGGATTTGGATTACCTATTAGCCAAATAGCTCAGTGCCTGCTTCCTTTATCACACTAACAGAAAACCACGGGGAAGCCTCCTGGGGTCATGAAGTCCACTTCCTTCTGACCCCTTCTCATGTTTCAGAAGGACCACTGAAGATCAGAGGGCCCTCTCATACCCTTTCACCCACTGGGCTTGCTGCTACGGCTGTGAATGCTCCTGAAAGTTGCTCGGCAGGCGTAGATTTCCGATTGGAATCCTCCCCGGGAGAAAGTGAGGATTTGGAACTTCGGTGTGAGTGTCCCCACAGCTCACACCTCTGCTCTCCCCAGAGTACAGACTCCTGTCCCTCCCCAGCACAGGAGGAGCTCTTCCTCCCTGGGGATCTGAGCTCTACGGGTCTGCACAGCTCCCGAGAAATCTCCGTTAGAGGCAGAAGCCTATTCGGTTAGCAGTGGCCAAGATAAGGGACAGCTGTGACCTTCCACGCTTGCTCAGGGTGCTGTGCCAGTTGCAGCCACGAGGAGGCTGGCCGTCGTCACGCTGGAATGACCCAAGGGCCCCAGGCTTATCTAGCTCACAGCTGACTTCAGATGAGTTAGTTGCAGGAGGAAGGTTCCTAACCACAGCTCATTCTCACATAATCACAGCTTGCTTATGTTGTGACTTACAGTTAAACAGAATTTAGATACCAATTAATTGTGTTAGACTTTTTGCTTTAATTTCCTGATGAAAAAGATTTAAAATGATGTGGGCTGAACAAGTATTTATAGCTAAGAGAAAATACTGCAGTATCAATATGAAAAGCTAATAAACTATTCATCTTTCCACCCTGACTTAGTAACAAGGACATGAGCGTGTGCTGGCTGGTGAGCAGAAGTCAGGATCACCATCACAGGGGACTTTGTAAAGCCATGACCTCAGCAATATTGGAACAGTACTTGGTAAGTCTGGCATTATGGTTAGTGAGATTAATATGAAACTGTTGTCCATTCTTTCGTTCCTATTTCAAAGGCAGAGTAGGAGGGAGAGTGTGGGAGAGTGAGAGGGGGTAAGAAAAGGAGGGAGAGAGGAAGTGAGGTGGTGAGGCAGTGCAACAGCTAATGGAGACATCTTCCATTTTGGGTTTATTCTCCCCTCGCCCTGCCCCCAATGCCCACAACAGCCAGGGCTATGCCAGGCCAAAGCCAGGATGCAGAAACTGCATCTGGGCCTCCCATACAGGGCACATGAAGCGTCACCTCTGCCCTGCAGGCATGCATTAGCAGGAAGCTGCATTTAACCCAGGGATTCTGAAGTCCCTGCTGCTCCTCTTTCAATCCAGCTTCCTGCTCATGCTCCCACAAAGGTCTGAGTCGTAGCTGCTGTATTCCCAATCCAACCCTCACTTAGGTGCCTGGGACAGCAGCTCACGTGAGAGAACCAGATGGAGTGGCTCCAGGATCTAGTATGTCTTAGCTCTAGTTGTTATCAAGATCTGAGGAGTGAACCCAAAGAGGCAAGAGCTCTTTGTCTCCTCTCCCACCCTCCCTTTAAAGTAGGAGAAAAATAAACATTAAGGGCGGGTGTTATGGCAGAACTAGTTAAGCTACTTTCTGTCATGCCAGAACCAGTTTGAGTCCTGGCTGTTGCACTCCCAATCCAGCTCTTTGTAAAGCAATGGAAGCTGTTCCAGCTTCTCAGGCCCTGCCACTCTTGGGGGAAGCTTGGAAGCAGCCCAGGCTCCTGGTTCTAGCCTGGCCCAGGCCAGGCCATGTGGCCATTTGGAGAGTGAACTAGTGGATAGGGGACCTCTCTCGCTTTCTCTGCAACTCTGCTTTCAAATAAATCAATCTTAAAAATTGTAAAAAGGAAACTAAGAATTTTTAAATTGTTTCTAAAGGGTCAGAAAACTGTTCCTTCAGCATTTTCTCATTCCACACATCCTAAAGTGTTCCAACAGCACTTCACATTCTTTCCATGAAAATGTCTTTCATTAGTAATTGTTTTTAAAATGTCTATCTTCTTTGACACATTAGAAACACAGTATTTTGTTGTCCACACCACCACTCATTTATTACTTAAACTTTGTCCGTTCAGCAAACTGTTGCAAGAACAGTGCCTAACTCGTCCTTAGACATACACATGGGGAAGGCAGCGTGACACACACAGGAGAGAGCGAGCTTTCACTTACTGGCTTGCTTCACAAACGCCTGCACTGGGCCCAGGCCAAAGCCAGAAGTGTGGAACTCCATCTGGTTCGCCCACATGAGCAGCAGGGGCCCCTCTTCTGCTGCTTTCCCAAGCATGTAAGCAGGGGGTTGGGTTGGAAATATAGCAGTTGGGACTCACACTTAGCTCATACAGGATGTTGGCACTGCTGGCAGCGGCCTACCTGCTGTGCCACAGGCCTGGCCCTGACTTTCCTCATCTTTATCCAGCATTCATTCCATTTCCTTTGGTAACTGCACCCTCCTTTTCCTTGGAGGTTGTGGCTCAGGTGTGGGCAGCTTACTTGGACTGTCCATGAAGAATGATCTAAATTGGCACAAAATGGACAGAAGTCAAGAGTCCCTTTGTGAGATCTCTCCCTCTTTTTTGCTCTGCTTTTAAAATCAACAATAATAAACAGCAAAAGGAATATTAAATACAATTCTTGAGCTTAGGCCTTAACAAAGGCCTGGTATCTTCTACTGCCATGCTTTTGGGAACCCTGACTCATCCAGTAAGTAGAAGGGAAAGCCACCTGGGGGAGGGGGCATTCCCAAGGCTCCAGGGAGTATGGGCGGGGTGCCTGGCCGTTCTGCCATCACAGCAGACTTCAGTCTTGCAGTTCTCCTCACCAAGTCAGCAGCTGTCAGAGGAGGCCCTGTTAGATGTTCAAGGCCCAGGTGCCCTCAGCCGGCAGGCCTGAAGGACTTTAAAGCAATCTGCTATAGTAACAGCACGTCATGGAATCAAGTGTTTCCCCAAATACGGAGTGGCCAACATTCAGGAACACAATCCAGCCAAATCTGTTTTGCCTTTAAAAACATGGAAATTCTTTAGCCGCTAGGCCATGCCACCGGGCCCCAAAGATAAAGTCCTGGCCTTGAACGCGCCGGGATCCCATTGGGCACCAGTTCTAATCCCAGCAGCTCCACTTCCCATCCAGCTCCCTGCTTGTGGCCTGGGAAAGCAGTGGAGGACGGCCCAAAGCTTTGGGACCCTGCACCCATATGGGAGACCCAGAAGTTGTTCCTGGATCCTGGCTTCAGATCAGCATAGCATCTGGGCTGTTGCGCTCACTTAGGGAGTGAATCATTGGATGAAAAATCTTCCTCTCTGTCTCTCCTCTCTGTATATCTGACTTTCCAATAAATAAATAAATCTTTAAAAAAATTCTTTATCAATAATCAAAAGACACAATGTGGGGAAGACTTTTGACAGCCATATGTAAGAAGACTGGATTTTACCATGTGTGTACCAGAGCTCTAAGCTGCAGAGAGGAATTACTGGAAAGAAAACAGGTGTCTTCTCAATGAGCCAGGAAGACCAGAGAACAAAGCATGGCAGCAGCTGGGACACAGGCCCAAGTCACTCCAGTACTCTCCAAAGACAGTCTCATGGAGATGCCACCACCGCCGCTGGGAACTCAACACCTGGTTTTGCTTGGCTGCCTGCAAACTGGATGTTGGCCGAAGTGCATCCACTGCTGCCACTGTCCCCATGGGTAACCAGAAGCTGTCACTGCTTCTGAGACTACCTCACCAGGCTGCACATCACCCCTGTAACAAGACTCATCTCTCCCTGGTCCAGCTCTGGCCCAGCCCAGGCTGACGGTCAGCAAGCCTGGACTTCGGTGTTTGTTTTGTTTTCCCTTTTGTGGAAGGTGGACTTTGCCATCTTCCAAGGAGGGAGAGTTCCCTAAATGCAGATCTAGAAACCAGATAGCTTAAAAAGATGACAAATGTCAACCATATGTCACTAGCTTTTCTTTTTAAAATGACCAGATATTTTGTTGATTAAACTATAAGTAATACCTCCTTGTACCTTTTTGAATATTTGGAACTAATATAGAAAACATACACTGCATTAGCTGCTTTGGGGCTACGTACAGATAATTTTTTCAGTCACTCTGTTACCACTCATGTAGGAGTTCCACTGACACTTTGGTGATGGAGGTTTGTGTTTGGTGGTGGCCCTGCTCTCACTGTCCAACCTGCCTTGCTGTGTGGCTCCATGGGGGCCCACAGTCCTTCAGGCTTCCACTGACCCATCGGAGATCCTGCTCATTCCCAACAGGGCTTGGCTGCTGTGCTAACATCTTTTGGACTTCCTTCTACTATGCAACATTTCCTTTTGGTTTCTCAAGGAGGATGAAAAACTATCGCCTGCCCCTTTAATTTCTTCTAGCTAGATCACCCCTCACACTGGTGACAACAGCCAATAACAATCAGAGTCACTGGGACTCTGACATCACCTGTCTACACTACGGAGCACAACGGCCAAACTAGACAGACCTGCTTTGAGTCATGAGTCTTACTCTTTACAAGCACATAGGCATTGAGTTACTTATAAGATGAATACGCTAATTCATTGCACATTAGGTGAGCATAATCATAAGTGAGATGGGTGTGAAATATATAACAGGAATGACTTGCAAAAACTATGTGCTCAATATCTAGTACTTATAATATTAACAACAGTAAAGTAGAATTATTTTAAGCAATTGTCTTGTATGATTGAAAAAATGCAAATAAAATCTCCATGATGCAGCAGGAAGAAAAGATGAGGCACAATGATTGATCAGTATTACGTGTCACTGAGATGGCAGACTGCCCTGTATAGTTAAGTACAGGGAAGGCTTCAATGACCCTAAGTGCACTGCTCTTCTCGGAGCATAGAAGCTTGTAGACACGGTTCTTGCAAAAGTGCAGAAGTCCTAGTTAGAATGATTTGCCAAATGGAAGAATGGCTGAGAGCCAATTATCATTCTTTTTATATTTGGCTCTAAATATAAATAATAATGTGAGAAAGAGTATAAGAAAAGAAAGAGAAAAGAAAAAATTCTTGAGAGGGACAGTTTGGTCCAGGAGATTCGGCAAATTTCAAAGTTAGTATTTACAGTAGATTCCTAATCAGGAATGGAGCAAAGCATATTAGAACAGGAGCATTCAATGGTCTGAACTGAAAAGCAGTGTGTCCTCATGTAGGCGTGAGCCAGCCTTTGTACACACACAGGCTGTGATGTGTGAGAAGTCCTGTGTATCACACTGCTTACTGCTGTACCCGCCTGGGTGAGGAAATTCCTTTCCCATTGTGCTGATACAGAGGCTAGTATTGTCTAAGCAAACCCGCTCACAGCCCAAGGAACGGAGCAACCCGAGGAAACAGTCATATGGGGGGGGGGGGGATATATTTTCTTCCATTTAAAAATGGGGAAAACCACCACGACAGGTTCTGTGGCCTGAGGGCCCATGTTTAGGGGTCACTGCTGCAGAAACAAACAGCCTACAGCCAACAGCTACAAAACTTAACTGGGACGGTCTGCTCCCTGGCGGACGTGGCTTCCCTTGTTTGACTGTTAGTTATGTGTCACTGTCATTTCAAAACTTGTGTTCCCAGAGAATGCTGAAACCAAGACATAAAAAAAAAAAGCCGAATTTCGGAGAACTGAAAAGTAAAAATTCTCCTATGCTATATAATTAATGTTAACAAAAGAGAGAGCCTGCTACCTAGATGGCACAGAAAGGCGCTGAAGCTTCAAATGGCTGATTTGCCACAGCAAGTAATTACTTTGTTTTTTACAAACATTTGAAACCTGTTATTACTCTCACAGCAGCACACACGAACAGAAAACTGTCACCTAAGGGAGAAACGGGGAACTCGGCTGTAATTAATTTCTGGTCGAATATATCACGAAGCCTTTAATGTTGTCAATAAAAGGCTCTATCCACTAAAAATCCCCACCTCTCCCTCTCTCCTCCATCCCCAGTACCTCAAAATGTTTAATCAGAGCGGCTTTGCGAAGCAGCCTGCCTGGGGGAGAGTGAGAGGCAGCCTTCCAGCCACTGCAAAGCTGCTCCTTCCCGGGCAGGACGTCAGAGCAGTCAGCTGAGTGCTGGCCTCTCCCTGCCCACATCTGTTTCTCATTTGACTTCATCTGCAACTGAGACTAGAAGGTGCACGATTCTTGGAGAAATGTGACCATGTAGATGTAAGGCAATGGAAATCATTACCGCAGCAACCAAGGCCTTGTCTTTAAAGGTTAAAACACAAAGATTAAGAGTGCCTCCCGGAAAAAGGGAGTGGCTGATCTGAATAAAACCTTTCCATCCCCAGCAAAGCCACAGCACGGCAAAGGAGATGCAGAATACGGCTGACGTGACATTTATGTTTTTTAGTAGGTGCGTGTTTATTTCTTGAATTACTCTTCAGAGCCTCCTAAGACCTTTTATAGGTCATCTAAAGCAGCAGTCAGCTCCCATCTCTGTTCTGAGTCTCCTGATGTGTGCAGAGTAAATGCTACAAATAGGAACTTGACTAGGAAAAGAAATGGGCCTTCCATTGCCCCTTCATTTACTCATTAACACAATCACACACCGATCATTCAGCAAATGTGGAAATCCCTGTCACATACTGCTTATGCCATAAATGTTTACAACACCTTTTCCCAATTAGACTGAGGATAATTTTGTTCCTTTAAAAGAAAATCAGACCATTTTCTTCTGGTTGGTTGCCCCTTTTGAGCTGAAAGTTCAAGCAGAGGGTGCTCCCCATCCTGTGTCTGGCACACGCCATGCAGTGCCAGGCACATCACCTGTGTCAGCACCTCCACTTGTTTGATGGAAGCAGAAACTTCCATCAGTATTGCTGAAGTGCCTTGCTCAGGTTTATACAAGCATCACAGTAGATACGTGAAGTGCTACGTACTTCACTGTAATAGTTCCAAGGACACAATGTGACTCTGCGTCAATTTCATAGGTCAACTACAAACAATGGCCACAACTTTGTGGGGTGGAGGAGGAGGAGTTTGTTGGTTTTTTTTATGCTTACTTTCTTATTTATTTGAAAGGTAGAACATTAGAATAGGAAAAGCAGGGGAAGAAAGGGTCAAGAATGGAAGAACTTCTGTCTTTTAACTCCTCCAGATGCCCACCCACAATAGCCATAGAGGCCGGGGTTACCCATGAGACTGGCTGGGAGCAAACTGCTGGGTTGGAAGCACAGAGTAGTTGAACTTGAACTAGGGACTCTAAGAAGAGATGCACTATCATGGTGAGCTGTCCCTGGGCCTGCCTGGGCTCCGGGGGCTGCTCCCTTCGGGGTGAGTACACCGAGGGGGGAGGTCTCCGTGACTGGGCAGGTCTGGGGCCCACCCACCACCTTCATTGGGTGGTGAATGGGATTGGGGAGGGGCGCGACCTTGGGCCTGGGAATTTAAATTTCCAGCAGCCTCCTGGCTGCTGGTAGGTCTCAGGACAGGGCGTCTCATGCCTGGACCCCAGACGCCAGCTACCATGTGCACGTGGTAAGCTGTCCCCGGGCGGCCAGTGCGCCATTTGGTGCCAGGCTCTGCCTGCTGGCCGCCTGGCCAGGAGCTCTGGGGTTTGGTTCTTTGAATCGCTGCTTAGGTAGCTCCAGGTTGAACCCATTGTGCTTATAGGACATGAAGCAATTGCAAAGATTCCCAATGACAGTAACTCTTCCTTTATAAAACTTGTAATCACTGAACAATGCTGACCACCAAATACCAGTCCATGCAAAAGCTGTGGCTCGGGGCTTGTCCTGCAGAATCATATCCTGTTACCTGACATGATGATGGATCAGGAGAAGAATCACCTTAAGCAGGGCCATTACATTAACTAGCACTCGAGGACCATAACCAGGAGTAGATTCTGTGGGGGATGTGTGGGCCAAACCCCGTGGAAATTCTAGCCCTAGTGGTTAGCTCAAGAGTTGGTATGGTGATAGACTAAGTGACTTCTTATCTATAAGGTTTTTGGAGAATTAAGGCATTTAGGGAATCACCCAGCCAGGAAGCAGCATTGTTTCCATCTGTCTTCTTCACACGCGTGCTTTGCCTGAGACACTCCTGATGTTAGGGTTGATGTTAGGGGTAGACAGTGTAAGACCAAAGGAAGAACTTGAAAAAGTGATTTTTAAAGAAACACTGCAAGTAGAGATAAGTAAAACTAGAAAATGAAAGTCAGTAGCAAGTCAGCACTTTTGCCCTGAAAACACAAAAGGGAGCTGGGTTTCTACTGGAACAGAACCGGGGAGATACAGACAGACTGATGTCCAAAGAGACTCAGCACTCACTATGCGCAGTGAGAAAAAGAATTCAGGTGTGCAGAAATTTACAAATGATTAAACAAGATATGGTCCATTTAGATCAAAGAATATTTGTTCATGTGTTAAATGTAATATTGGAAAGGAATACTAATGGTTGTAGAAAAAAATCACGCTCTTAACATTACCCAGGAAAACACAATCAAAGTAATGTAAATTCTATTAACACAACCCTAACTTTCTGAAAAGAGAATTTATAAATTTATATGTGTGTGAGAAGTCGCACAGGCAACCTGGGCCTGAGAGGCAGGAGAAAGCACACTGAACCATCAAAGGTTTACGAGTAATGGTTACGTTCTTTCCATTGCATCCTGCATATTACAGACACCAAACCTCTGTAGTCAGACCAAAGAACCTAATTGAACAACAGGAGAAAAACAACGTGCCCAAGGCATACGCACTATTTAATAGACTTTTGTAGGATCACTTTCTCTGCAACCTAAGAACACCAACTAAGCTTCTTAAGCACCGAGGATCTGTTTTATAAGATGACTCTCTGAGCAATGAAGTCATGGTTTGGCACAAGACACATAGTCCCATGTTCCCCCCTACCTTGCAAAGTCCAAGTCGGCCTCCCGTGACATGGTGATGTTGGTCAGATTCTGCTGAAGAACAAAGATGTTCCTGCACATTTTCTTGATGCCAGACTCACTGATGCGCCGGAAGTACTGGGCACCATTGATGAGGATGCAGGAGATCAGATGTCCCAGGCCTAGAGGGAGAAAAGCAGAGACAGATTAGCGGCATCCTGCAGGAACCTACACATAGGACCACTCCCTTCCGATCCTCCACAGACTTCAATGGCCAAGGGAAAATATCTGACCCTATGATAGTTTCAGAGCACTTCCACACTGCTCTACTAGTTAAAAATGGGAGGATTCGGCCTGGTGCCATGGCCCAGTGGCTAAAGTCCTCGCCTTGAATGCCTGGGATCCCATATGAGCGCCAGTTCTAATCCCGGCAGCTCCGCTTCCCATCCAGCTCCCCACCTGTGGTCTGGGAAAGCAGTCAAGGATGGCCCAAAGCCTTGGGACCCTGCATTAGCATGGGAGACCCAGAAGAGCTCCTGGCTCCTGGCTTTGGATCAGCACAGCACCAGCTGTTGCAGCTACTTGGGGAGTGAATCATCAAACGGAAGATCTTCCTGTCTCCTCTCTGTTTATCTGACTTTCCAATAAAAATAAATCTTAAAAAAAAAAAAAAACCGGAGGATTGCTGCTGGCAATAAAACCTTGGGTATCGACGGGTCTGGCATTGCCATATACATCAAAAAACACCATGCCAAGGACTCAGACTATGTACTAAGTTGCTCTAAGAACTCTTAAAGGGCCCAAGAATTTCTGCTTTTCTGCACAGACTCTTGGGAAGCAAACAAAACACGCTCCCACAATGACCCATGGAGCTTCTCCTTCCTCATAAAAAACAGAGACGCAGCCACTTTTGGTTTCCAAGTTGATTGGAAATTCACATAAAAGTAAATTGATAAGAAACCCCGTATGATGACAAATACAAGTAAACAAATAGAATTGATGATGTAATGAAATAACATACTTCAACACTGGCAGTGGAATATATTTCTAACATTTAGATGTATTTATTTGGAAGGCAGAGTAACAAGGAGAGCTTGGTCTATCTTCCGCCTAATGCTTCACATCACACACAGTCCACCTTAGTGACCGTGCAAGCCAAGTCCATAAGCTGGAGCTCCATCAGGCCTCCCATGAGGTGTGGGGCCTATGGCCTTGCCTTCCTTTCCCTGGGCACGTTCTCAGGGAGATGGGCTGGAAGCAGAGCCGCCAGGAGGCAGATGGGCACTCTGCTGCAAGGATGCTCATGTCACAAGTAGTCTCTTAAGCCATTGTACCACAACCACTGTCCCTACTTCCAATATTTCCAAAGTGGTTTTGGAGAGAATATCATTACAAATGAAGAGAAAACATATCATGCCCATGAGCCCCACGAGTGCTTCTAGGGTTCCTTGAGTTATTAGTTCTTTACCCTTAATGTTTGCCTGTTTCAGCTACCCCGACCTGATGTGTCAACTTGTCTCTGCTACTTCTTGCATTTGAAAGTGAAGAGAAGGAAAGATATATTTATTTATTTATTTTTGGTAAGAAAGAGCCACAGAAAAGGAGAGAAAAAGATCCTCTATCCCCTGGACCACTCCCCAAGTGGCCACAACAGTCGGAGCTGAGCTGAAGAGGAGCCAGGAGCTTCTTCCAGGTCTCCCATGTGGATGTAGAGTCCCAAGGACATGGGCCGTCCTCCACTGTCTTCCCAGGCTACAAGCAGCTCAATGGGAAGCAGCTGCGAACCAGACCAGCGCCCACATGGGATCCTAGCACTTCTAAGGGGAGGACTCGAACAACTGAGCCACCATGCTGGGCCCAGGAAAAAGCTTTTGGAAAAAAAAGAAAACACTCATGGAGGCTACATTTAAATCTAGATTTTATATATATGTGTGTTATATATTTAAATATATGTATGTAAAAATCTCTCTAAGTGAAATTCTAATGTTACTCTCCCAAGACTATAACTTCAGATGTAACTTTGTTCTGCACACTATTAGATCTGCCCAAAAGTGTAGACCACGAGGAGATGCACTGTCATGGAGAACAAGTGATAATAACCACTGAGCTCAGTAGAAACAGTAGAGAAACACCATTAAGATGAGTCACAGGAATGGGGAGGCCACGCGCTAACTGTGCAATAACACCCCGATTTCTCGCAGTGGTGCTGTGGCTTCAGCCGCAGGGTGCTACAGGTGTTCGTAAATTCACAGCATCAGGCACCTGCAGCAAGTCCTTCTATCAGTTACACCCCCTGCTAGTCCACTAGGGAATTTCCTTTCATCTCCCGCTTTGCAGTTTGGTCCTCCTAACTTGAAGGAAAAGTGCTGTTTTCAAGGGAGGGGTGTTAGCAGTGGCCAGGACCTAGCCCTTTCACGACAAAGCACAGCACTCCTCACTGTCTTCAGGGACATACTCCTCTGCACAGTGCAACTCCTTAATTGTACAAATAAAATTGGTTTAATTGTTGTGAGAGAACTCATAAACAAACAGAAACATGTAATATGAGAATATATAATTTGAAATCATAACAGGGGTCTTATAGGTGGAATTTACTGTCAAAAAAATTTTGGCTGGGATGCCGTTTTTCCAATCCGTGAAGGCATTTATCTTTAGATGACACGTGCTATCTCTAACACACCTTCATTGACTTTTAGGAAGGCATTTACGGAAGCAAACTTGCCAAAACCAATCGCTGCTGACCCAAGGCTTCTGTTCTTTGCAGATGATAGAACTTCTCCTGGCTTACGATCATTGTAGTCAATGGGGCTTTCTTTCTGGGTCCTGCCTTCACACCGTGCACGGGGCTAGTCTCTTATGATCCACGGTGTTCACTTACCCAAATCTCAGGAGTGGCACATCAGGGAAGCAGCTGGCAGCCGCCTCACCTGCTTTACTCTGGGCTACATCTCCTTATCAACCAGGAGCAGGTGGCGGCTATGCTGTTGTCTACCTTGTCCCAGTCAGAGGGCAGCTATGCAGCTTTCATACAAACAAAGATATTTTCCCCTACAAGTTGGGAACTAAAAACAATGCAAAAAAATTAGGACATCTTCCACCCACCCTTCTTCCCCAACTTTCAGAAACAGGCAGATCTGACCTTCAAAGATATACTGGAATTTGTGCTGCTGCAGACTGGCGCTCATGGCCTCCTCGATGGCGCTGATGTCTTTGTTGAGTTTGACCACCAGAGGGTCGTAATCCATACTCTCCACATTAGCGACGATGGCGTAGTTCCCCTCCTTTGCCAGCGGGATGAGATAGTGGAAGCAGTGAACCCTGGAAGGTAGAGAGAGGAGGAGCTCTTAGCACCGGGTCTGCAGTCACGTCTCCCGAGCGCCTGCAGCTGCGGCAGCCTTCTGCATCCGGACAGGTGCTCACTCCCTCTTATTTTTATTTCTTAACCAGAAGACATCTTTATTATTCTACAGAGTAGCTACATGACCTGCTGATCTGAAACAAGTAAGCCTCTGTCATCTTTGCTTGATTAAGTCATGTACTGTGTGAAAGAAATACAAGAATTCAGAAATCATATTTAATGCCAGGTTGAAAAGCATCACAAATATCTCCCAACAGACCCTGCTGCTATGGGAATGCGAGGCCAAGTGCACAGGTCCTCAAAGAACAGGCGTGGGAAGGAAACCACTTTCGCTTTAATTCCCTGTTCCAACACACGTCTGAAGATGTGGATATAATATCTAAAAGTATTAAAAAAAATTCCTGCAACCTTTTCAGGGAATGATTTCTTAAATATGACACCAATGACACCCCTCAGAAAAAGTAAAAGAACAGCAAGTTGATCAAAATGAAAAGTCATTCTTTGAGAGTGTTAAAATTAAAGATTGGAAGGGACCTGTATCTAGGATATATAAAGCCCAAGAGAGGAAAAAGTGAGCACGTGATATGAGCAGTTGCTGTATCTGTTCTTGCCCATGCGCGGGTGGTGACGACACCTGCGTGCCAGGGTGCGGTGTGAGCACTTGGCACAGGCCACTCGGTACCCAGCTCCCGCACGTGCGCGCTCCCGGTCCTCTCTGGGATGAGGCAGGCGCGCGTACATGTTGGTGAGAAATCGCTCCGCTGCTTTCTGAAGGCGACATGCCCCTTTGTGCTCATGCTACGGATGCTCCAAGTTGCTCTCCATCCTCTCCAGCCTCACTGTAGCCAGTTTAAAAAAGAACTCTGGTCAATCGGATGTCTAACGGGAGCCCACTGTGACTTTACTGTGCATTTTGTAGTGACTAATGATGAGAACTGTATTTTTGCAGGCATGTGTCTTTGAAGCATCTGTTCATATCACTTTCTCGTCACATTGCAGGAATTGTTTTTACATGTGTTCGTTTTTTTATAATTTGTTTATTTTTATTGGAAAGTTAGATATACAGAGATGAGGACAGGCAGAGAGGAAGATTTTTCATCTGATGGTTTACTCCCTAAGTGGCTTCAGCAGCCAGAGTTGAGTCAATCCGAAGCCAGGAGCCCGCAGTCTCCTCCAGGTCTCCCACATGGGTGCAGGGTCCCAAGGCTTTGGGCCGTCCTCCACTGCTTTTCAAGGCCACAAGCAGGGAGCTGGATGGGAAGTGGAGCTGCTGGAATTAGAACCAGCTCCTATATGGGATCCTAGCGCATTCATGGTTAAGACTTCAGCTGCTAGGCTATCGTGCTGAGCCCTACATGTGTTACAGTTTTAGGCATTATATATACATCTACAATACATACTGAACTAATCTTTCCATACATATGTTATACTCTCATAAGCAGTTCATGATTGAATTCTGACTATCTATATGTTTCCAATAATCAGCACTCATCCTAGTAGTTGCTAAATAATGAATAATCTCACCAATGAAGTTCTCACCCTCCGAAGTTCATTTGCTAGTTGGCCTAGAGAACATGTGATGAAATGCCAGTAATGGCAATGTCTGGGACTCCTCTGGAATGTGAACTCCTGAGGCAATAAAAATCTACCAATTGCATAATTCATGATTAGAGCTATGGACTGCAACTGTGGTACAGACTTGAATGAAGTGGCACTGAGTTGAAAATAGAATCAAAGCCGTGTGGAAGTGTTCTTCAACTGCAGACATCATGTCCCCCAGTTATGGAGAATGAGGCAGAAGTCAGACAGCACTGCTGCGTAGCTCATTCCTGCTGAACGGGCCATGTGGCAGAGGCCTCGGTGCGCTCAGGCACGTGGGCAGCGCCCAGGGCGTCGGCTCTGAAGGCTAGTAGGGAGTCCAGAGTGGATATGGGAAGCTTCTGGGAGCACGGGAGGATTTTCAGAGGTGCAGTGATATAACCAGATATGAGCTTGGCAAGCTCACTCTGGCACAGAAGAGTGGACTGATGGCAGAGAAGGGAAGCAAATGGAAGTAGCGAGGCTAGTTGGGAAATCCCTATGAATTAGAAGTGACAGCTTACGAGACAGGAAGCCAGCGGCATGGAGAGACGACCACTGTTTAAGGTACCAACTTGTTCCAAAATGACTGCAGACACAAAGAAAAATCATCACCAATAAATATCACATCCAATAGTTTTTTTTCTTTGAGATCCTGATATATGATTGCTACCCCTAATGTGCTTTTGGCATTCAGGGTTTCTGCAAAACCCTGCTGATACACAGCACGATGACCGACTTTCAGAAACTACACATGTGGAGACCTACTGGGGACAGACAGTGGCTCCTGAAGGGCAGAAAAGGCAGCTGATGAAGCTGACACTTTTGGCATCTTAGACTAACATGACAACTGACTTATTTTTCTAAAGGTCAAATAAACAAAAAGAACCTAAAAATTTTTGATGGTCTCACCAGGTCTTCCTTCTCTTGGGTGTGTTTTCCCTTGGGTTCCATACTGTGGAAGGGGCTCCTTGGTGGCTGAATGTCCCTTACAATGAAGCAGGTTCAGTGTCACCTGCTCTTCGGAGGGGCACCTCAACAATGAACCTGCTGCCCTGGAGAACACTTGTTTGGTTTGAACTTTAATACCATTAAAGAAAAATACAGGCGACAGATATCTAGTTAACTGGTAAGTAAGACAGTTTTGTGACGCTCGAGGTTCTGGACTTCTTGTTAGCATGGTTCACTGGTTTTTGTCTCCCCAAGTGTTCTCTTTTGAAAGCAGCCTTGCTTAGCGCAGTGGCTTCTTGCCTCCATGTGCCAGCGAGCACACCTCACCAGCCACTTGTTCAGTGCTCCAGCTGCTGGACAGCACAAGCTGAGGTCTAACCGTTACAGACGGATTGGAGCATAACAGAACAGGTGGGTAATGCTGGCCATGCACGCTACTCCTTAGCACATGTACAGATATCTAAGTGTGGACCACTGTGTGACGATAAAATCTACAATCACTCCCCAGCTGTAAGCAATGGCTTAGGTTGCACTGCACCTAGGCACGTGTTACACTGCTGGCAGAAAAACAGCTAAGATGCCAAGTTTGTATTAACTATACCAGTATTCCAGAATAGTCTCCTATTCTATTTTTTTTTTAATATGGTGTAGGGGGGGCAGATGCTGGCATGAAAATCTCTCTTAAAAAAAAAAAAACATTTTAGGGTTTTGTGTGGTAGCCTAGTGGCTAATGTCCTCGCCTTGCATGCGCCGAGATCCCATATAGGTGCCACTTGGTGTTCCAGCAGCCCCGCTTTCCATCCAGCCCCCTGCTTGTGACCTGGGAAAGCAGGACGACCCAAAGCCTTAGGACTCCGTACCCACGTGGGAGGCTCAGAGGAGGCTGCGGGCCCCTGCTTCGGACTGACTCGGCTCCGGCAGCCGTGGCCACTTGGGGAGTCAATCAGTGGGCAGAAGTTCTCTCTGTCTCTCCTCTCTGTATATCTGATTATCAAATAAATAAGTAAGTCTTTTTAAAAAAGGTTGAGTTTCTCTGCTCTAAATGAGCCCTTTGATCATTCCCACAGGTGTAATATTCTAGGCTGTCCCAAGCAAACAGGGACACTCCCAGAATGTGGCATCTTAGAAACTGTTCTCCTACATTGTTCTTTAATCTCTTAGATTTGGCTTTAAAGAGTCATGATTCTTACAACTGTATACTCCCTCTTCTTTTGATTTTCATCTTAGCAAAAATATCAGTGACAGAAAGAACCACCTTACTGATGAATTTGCCAGGCTTAGCGCCCACTGTGACAGCACTGTGTTACTTACGCATTACTTCATTTATACAGCCTCTGGTCGTTGAGAATTGCCATTCCCCCAATGGAGACTTTATAACATTTATTCAAAGACCTAGCGTGGACATTCAAGTGTCGGCCATTTGTACTTCACACTCTGGAGTCACCAAATTCACGATGCAGCTGCTGCTCACACGCTGACCAGTGCCCGCAGCCCAAGAAGAACGGAAGGAAGACAGCCAGCCACAGCCGCAGTCACAGCACCGTGACCCGCCAATGAGTCCCCAGCCCTGACAGGGCTGTCCTACCTCACTTCCAGGTGCAGGACCAGCAAGCAGCGGTCGGCCATCTCCTGGAAGGACCTGGCGAGTTCGCTCAGAGTCTGCAGGATCTGCTCCGACACTGGTGGGAGGTCCATGTTCACGTGGCTCTCCTGAGCTGGAGAAAGCGCTGCAGACAGGAAGCGAATGATCAGATAGAGTGAGGGTTTGGAAATGATGACTTTGCTACCAACCTAGCGAATGCCAGTGCTGGCAGCATGAGAAATGCAGCCCCTGACAGAGCTCACTTCACGGCAAGGCGTGTGTCCTAACCACGAGGAGGGCTGTGTCTTCTCTATAGCTTCAAATGGCACTTGAGCTTCAGTTTGCACACACGGGAGGAAATACAGCACCTTTTTTGGCAAACTGTTTCATCTCTGAAAGTTGGAACCACCCAATACCGTGCCAATACCCGCTTTTATTAATTTGTAATAATTGGCTCTAACTTTGCATCATCTTTTGCACTGGCAGTTTTGAGTATTAAAGTCTTAACATTCCCCTAACAGACTGCACTTCTCTAAACAAAGTTTCCCAGTTCTACGACCATTCTTCCAATAATCTGACTGAAGTGTTTTATAATTTCTCAGAATTTACCAAACAAAACATTCCAGTTCTTATGCATCTCCCTTGGAGCCTGGAACTCAAGACCAAAAAGACGAAATACTACATCAGGTCTGGCCCGACTGGAAAGAGTGATCAGTTCTCTTTCGCTAGATGTCAGCTGCTTGCACTGAACCTTCCAACCTGAGTGTGGGCTGGCTCAATGGCTCAACCGCATCATCCCGAGCCTGTTCGTGCTGGCATCCCAAATGGGCACTGGTCCATGTCCTGGCTGCTCCACTACTCATACAGCTCCCTGCTCATTGCCTGGGAAGACAGGCCCATGTCCTTCGGCCCCTGCACCCATGTGGGAGACCTGGAAGAAGCTCCTGGCCCCTATCTGTGGTTCGGCTTAGCTCTGGCTGTAGCGGCCATTTGGGGAGTTAACCAGTAAATGGAAGATCTCTGTCTCCTTCTCTGTAAAACTGCCTTACAAATAAAAATAAATCTTAAAAAAAAAAAAAGCTGGGGGTGAGAGTGGTGGAGTGCTGCATCCTACTTAAACTCAACTATAGCCTATGGTCTGGGAAAATCTTTTTTTTAAAGATTTATTTATTTTTATTGCAAAATCAGATATATAGAGAGAGGAGGAGAGACAGAGAGAAATATTTGCCGTCTGAAGATTCACTCCCCAAGTGACTGCAATGGCCGGAGCTGTGCCAATCCAAAGCTAGGAGCCAGGAGTTTCTTTTGGGTCTCCCACACGGGTGCAGGATCCCAAAACTTTGGGCTGTTCTTGACTGCTTTCCCAGGCCACAAGCAGGGAACAGGATGGGAAGCCAGGATTAGAACCAGTGCCCATATGGGATCCCGGTGCATTCATGGTGAGGACTTCAGCTGTGAGGTCCAAAAAATTTCATAATTTATCTTCCAAAGTAATTTATAACATTTTAAATGATTTGGATATTTTCTTTAGGAAAATACTAAATAGCAAAAAATGCCGACATTATCTGTAATCACATTTGGTTATCTCTTGTTTGTCCATTGTCCTTTCAGTTCCCTATAATCTCCCGGAGATCCTTAAGAATGCTTTGGCATTCTCATTTGAAACTTCCTCAGTTCCCGAGGTCTAACCACTTACTCTGTGTGAACAGTTATTTATTCCAAATGTCTCCGCCTCATTTTCTTCTGTAAAATGGGGATAACAACCCTTTGCCATGGGGTTAAGAGGACAATTTAGAGAACACCTAACCACAGCACATAAAACACAGTATTAACAAGAAAGCCATAAGCAATCAATATTCTCTGGCTTATGATTGGTCCAGGCTAATTCTTCAGCTGAGTTACAGCCCAAGCTTACACGATCACTCCAGTCATAGTTTCTGGCACCTTTCGCTTTCTATCTGAAAGTCACAGGTTATAGAGCCCTTTGGAGAAGGGCTCCCTGGATTTGGGGCCTGTGGGACGTGGGTAGGCACGACTGCCTGGCTCAGGAGGCAGGCTCGCTTCACACGGCAGAGTCAACATGTGGTCCTGGCAGTGTCTGTAGCTGTGGCCTTTCATGCTGTAACCACTCCTGCACTTTGCTAAGCCCAGATCCATAGAGACAACCCAGCCTTACAATTTAAAAGGTTAAATTCTGTGTGAAATCCAGACTTTAATAAATTGCAACAGTATGTCAAACACAAAAAAGCAGTATTATTCAAGGGAATTGATATTTAAGGAGGAAAGGGAGGCAGCTTTGCATTAACTGTTGATGGTAACTTTATTCAGTGCTTGAATGCATGTGGCAAGCAAGATTAAAGCAACTTTAGTGGCACTGTTACAGTATTTCGAAGCCTTTTGCTAACAGCACAGCATGGGACAATTCTGTGTATCAGTAACAAGAGGCAGAGAGGAGACCCTGACCTGACTCTATGGAAAGCACCCTGGGCCCGTGTGTTAGGGTGCTACCGGAAATGCCTGTATCCCACATAAAGCACCAGTTTGAGTCCGGCTCCCTCGCTTCCTACCCAACTTTCTGCTAATGCATTTCGGAAGGCTGTAGAGGTGGGCCATGTCTGGGTCCCTGCCACCCGCACACAGACTCCAGAGTTCCTGGCTCCCGGCTTTGGGCTGGCTGAGCCCAGGTGAATGAAATAGCTGATGGAGGATTGCTGTCTCTCCCTGTCACTGTCGGCCTTTCAAATAAATAAATATATAAATCTTTAAAGAAAAGTATATGGGGGGAAACCAACCAAGAGACTAAACAATCCTCCTTTCCTATTACAATATATCATTTCAGGGTAAATCAAGAGCAAAATTAGCTGCCAAGGAAAAAGCTGGAATAAGTGAGCCAAGAGGAGTTTTGAATAGCAGCACATTATACTTTAGTTTGATTATAGTATATTTATAGCACAGACATAACATTCTATTATTATTTTTAAAGATACATTTATTTTTGTCAGAAGGGCACATTTACAGAGAAGAGAGAGAGAAAGCTCTTCCTTCTCCTGATTCACTCCACAACAGCTGGAGTTGAGCTGAAGCCAGGAAGCTGGAGCCTCTTTCAGGTCTCCCATGCAGGTGCAGGGTCCCAAGGCTTTGGGCCATCCTCAACTGCTTTCCCAGGCCACAAGTAGGGAGCTGGATGGGAAGCAGGGCTGCCAGGATTAGAACCAGCGCCCATATGGGATCCCGGCGCTTTCAGGGCAAGGACTTTAGCCACTAGGCTGCTGCGCCGGGCCCTGAGGTGTGAAGTTCTAATGTCATACCCTGTACACGTGCGACACCTGCTGCTCGGCTCCAACTCCATGGTCCCTTCGGTTTGTCCTGCTATATCTGATCTCTATCCAGGCCCTCACCAGCGACCGCATGACACAACTGCCTTGGAGCCTCTGGCTTCACCCTAACCTGTCTAAAATTCCATCTAAGCTTGGGTCAGGTCTGTAGTTCATCCTTTGGCAGTAAAACAGGTACAGATGGCTGCCACGGAAATGTCCTGGGCCTTAATGTCTCAAAGACTTCCAGGGCCCCTTACAGTCCTGTCAGTAGCGCTTCACTGAGACTTTTCCCAATCTTTGGCGCTCTCCTGCAGCTCTCTGGGCAACCTGCTTGCTATTACTCCCCTGGTGAGGCTGACTCCTGGTTGACTCCACTGTGTGTCACAACCTTCGTACCGCCTCCAGTTGGTTAAGAATGGCTATTTAAACAAACAAACAAAAAAATTAAAATAGGCAAAGAACACAGAAAGCTTAGAACGAGACAGGAAATGGTTAGTGGGGACTCACATATACCTTACTAGGTAGGACACGAAAATAAGTAACTCCTCACCGGGGTATCAAAGATTTCTCTGCACAACCCCCTATAACTGTTCTGTGTCTCAACTGGTGACATGTGCCTTGCTAAAGTTATAAGCCAGTTTGGACTATCCTAAAATCTTCCATGTTCAGTAAAAATTATGCTTCAATATGATACACTGCTATATATAAAAAATGAAAATAGACATGAGACAGCTGAATAGTATCCTATAGCCATTTTAAGGTAGATAGAAGCCAGTTGTATATAAACTAAAATTGAAATGTCAATGAAGTAGTCACAGGATGTGGTTAAGAACTTGCATTTTCTAACATATCAGTCACTCAATACCGTGTCAATTAACTCTATAATGTTGTAAACTGTTGTTGATGTTATGTTATGGCTTTTAATTGGTTGGAATGATATTCTGCCAGCTCTGCTTTTAGAACAGAGATGGTCTTCCCAAGAAACTGTTGAATTGATCTGGACAATAAGATGCTGAACTCTATGCATGGTACATGCTTGCAATGAAAGAAGCATGACTGGATTTGAACTGTAATACTGCAATAAAGTGGAGTAATCCACCATGCGGGGAGGGTACAGGGAGGGGTTGGGGGAACCTCAGAGCCTATGAAACGATGCCATAAAATAAAATGCAATTAAAAAAAAAAGAATGACTGTTTAACAGCCAGCTGTCAAGGATACCCTTACTACCAGATCTGCCAGGTGTCCACTGGTGTCATTGCCACAAAAGCTTTCTTTGACATTCGACATTTCTTAGCCAAGGTCTTCTGCAAATTACGTCTACTCTTGGCCTATGTGGCACCCCTTTCCTCTGAGTGTGCCCTGACTTCTCTGACGTTTCCTCCAGAGTTTCTTCATGGAATCACCTGAGACACCATCCTGGTTCTCATATCTGCCAGCGGGTGTAATGAATTGGCCCAGCCTGGCCTGGTCTGGGCTGCTCTTTGTCTTGGTTCTTGCACTCACCTGAGGGACTGTGTCCTGACAAAGGAGTACCCAAAGCTCCTCTATTGGGTCCTTGATCCACACTGACTTAGTTCACTTCCTGTCCTGGTAAGAACAATGTCCTTTCCCAACTAGCCCACACCCAATCCAGTTCTTACCATTAGATGTTACAGCCCAGCCACACCTGGTCCATGCCCACACACTGCTTTCATGTAGGTTAGTGGGGGCCAAGACCTAGCCCAGCCTATTCTACTCTCACTCTGGCTCTCATAAGTATCAGTGGAGTCTAGCCCAGCCTGGTACGCCCCAGACCCAGTCCACACGCATGACAATGTCCAGCCCATC